AGATGTGCTAAAAGTCCCAAAAGGTACGCACATAATCCCACAACTAAAATGAAGAAGAAGGTGAGGATGGAGATCAGAAGGCCATCAATAAGAGAGATGAATCACAAAGCAATGGCATAAATCCAATCAGAGGACCATTTACTAGATCCGAAAGAATTGCCAAAAATATAGGATGTTTTTAGCGTAAAAACATTTTCTCTGGAGGGACTCGTTAAAAATCACACCACTAATGTCTCAAAAAAGCATCATAAGAAGCATGATGAGCTATTCTCATGTCCATGTGGACCGCAATTGAACGACATCACCATAAGAACAAAAACTTGGATTTATGAGTTGTTCACAAATGCTCATTGATTATCAAATACACATGTGGGACTTGCATTTTACTACCTAGGAGTGAACAGGTAGTAATATACGTTAAATTAGAAATATGCCACAACAGATCCTTTATTTGTTGGTATGCTAAAGATGAAAGCTGAGTTGATACAAAATGAGAAGATAACATTGATAGAGGCAACATACAACAGGGATATAATGCACAGTATACTAGGAACAAGCCAAATGAACGAGATGCCATAGACAGAAGCTGATTACGTATACATGCCCGTGAACACAATGATGCATTGGGTCATATTGGTGTTAGACATAATGCCAAGTGTATTCGAGATTACGACTCTCTAAAGAGAAGAGAGGATACACTGTCCTCCATAAAGATCATTTACACCATGCTTAGAGTCTTTCTTATGAAATTTAATGGAAAAACTAGGAGTGTATGACAAACATCTACAAGCAGCAATTGGGAAGGGGGAAGCTAAAGATTGAAATGGTGTGCAGCAGTCCACAACAACTGGGTGAGTGGAATTGCAAGACGTTTGTGATAAAAATTGCACAGTTTTTAATGCTTGACAGCGAAGCTACTGAGGTTTCAAATTATTGCATTGAGATGTACTGAGAAAGGAAGACAACAGGACTACTTTTGTATCCATCAACAAAGAATTTGTTTTAGTAAGTGATTCTTGTCATATATATGTATCATACACACATCACATTTGTGGTGGTTAATATGTAATTTGACATTTTAATATGTATATTTAAGAGTTAGGACACATTTCTAAATGAAAGCTTAATTTTGGAACATCCAAAAAAAGTTAAAACTGCTTTCCAAAATGGTTAAAACTTTTCGGAGGCAGATGAAGTATTTTTGAAAAATTGGCTGTAAATGGGACTAAAAACATGGGATATGCATCCGTAGGACTTCAATTATTTTTAAGCATAAATGGAACTAAATTCAAGTGATATTCCTATTCTACCCTTATTGAATGTTCGCACTAGTCAAATCCCCAAAGCCCTATTTCTTGCTGCGCATTTTAATTTGGCCGCTGAAGTTCCATTGTACTTGCGCAGCTGCATCTCTCCTTCCCTACACATCTCCTTCTCCTTCCCTGCAAATCTTCTTCTTACCCCTTCACACAACAACAACAAAACTAGAAGTCCAGCCATAGCCATCGCCGACACTGATACGAAGACCACCGTCGTCGTCGCCAGAGTCTTCTTCTCTGCCGCCGTCGCGAAGGCCACCGCCACTGCTGCCGGAGATAAAATTTTCTTCTCAGTAGATTTGCTTCTCTTCTCTGATTGTTCTGCTCCATTTCTTCTTTGATTGTTACAAAATGCCAAATTAAATCTAAAAATGCCGTAAAAATGGCATTTTTAGTCTTAAAAAATTTTGTGTTTTTATTTGAAAATTAAGCACCTCTCTTCTGTTTCATCTTTTCAAGCTCTATTTCTTATTTGGCTGATTACAAATTCCAAATTTAATTTAAAAATGCCAGAAAAATGGCATTTTTACACTTCACAAATTTCATATTTCCCTCTGAAAATGCCATTCATATGGCATTCTAAATTCATGGTGGCATTCTAATGAAAATATTAGCATAAGTGATGGGATCGGTCAGATCTGCAATGGTGGGCTCTGAATCTGCAACAGAGGAGGTCGGTTCTATAGAGGCGGCGGACAAATCTTCAGGGGCGGCGGAAGACGGACGGTGCGGTCAGATCCAACTAGATCCATGAAGGTGGCAGTCAGAACTGTAGAGAAAACTATCAGATCTGTAGTAGTAGTAGCAGCCATATCTTTAATGACAACCAGTTCTGTGGTGGTTGTGGCGGCCGGCAGTGGTATGAGGTTTGTCGGCAGCAGTTAGCTTTGGCAAGTTTCAGGGGGTTATCTGTCCAACTACATATAATAAGTCCTATTTGGAGAAATTTTAAACTTTATTCCTAATTTAGCAATTAAAGATGGATTTATTCCTATTAAGGTAAATACCTCAGTATTTTTCAGTTGAATACAAATTCTGACTTGGAAAAAATAAATAGTTACATTAATTAGTGTTTTGTTTGTTGTCTTCATAGTTTTATCAATTACTTAATATGGAGTGATTGAATGTTCCGTAAAGAGTTACTAATTATGTTACTAATTATAGTGATTGCTGAACATAGGTATAAAAAAAGGAAGAATTCAGCTTATATTAATAACCAATATTTAAGAGTATGAGTCAAATGACAAAAAGAAATCTGACAACCGTTATCCCTCGAACCAGACTCGGAATTAATCGCCGTAGCAATAAAATTCATTGATCCATAACTGGGAAACAAAAAACCAAAAACGGTTACCATATCCCTCTCATCCCCCATATCCAAACTCAGTGTCTTACAAACTGGAATAAAGCAAAAAAAAAAGAACAAAACATAACCAAACAACAAACAATTCGACAGAAAAACACAAATTGAATAAAACGAAATTAAAAACGAATTCACCCATCTTCTTCCAAACCCTAGATTTGCTTTCACTCCATGGCAGCGGCTCAAGAGGGGGACGCGCCCGCCGTTCATCCCCCCAACTTCAACATCACCTTTATCCAGATCCAATTCTTCTTCCTCTGCGTCAATCTCCATCGTCTTGTACTTGTCCACAAAGCTTTCCAGGCCGAAAAGAGAAAAAGCAAATGAATATCCGATATTCGTTTCCACCTCCATATCAGCCGACGAAATGGGGCTGCAACGAGAGAACTCTTATACGCACACGTATCGAAACCCTTCGTTCAATAGCTCGGACCGAGGAACCGGGACAACGTCTTCGACAATAGACAACGTCTTCCAAACAATCCAAAGAGACATCCAACGAATAAAGGACTCAGAGACACGGCGGAGAGCCGTCTCCGGACTAACCCTAGATCTAGAGAGAGGCGAAAACTCTTCTTTTGGCAAACTTAACTATATACGAAAGGAGGGGGAAATTTGGTCATTTTCACGCCCAAAGTCAAGTATGGGTAAAAATGGATCAATTTAAGTCATTAAATCGTTACTAAAAGATGCAGTAGCTTAGTGTGATAAAAAGATGTGACATTAATCAATCACATACTATCATAATAAGATTGACTGAATCGGGACGAGTCCACCCCTAATCGAAAAAAATAAAACTCAATGGTTTCATTAAAAAACATTGGTAAGAATAGTATGCGAACACAATTTTTCTTTACATATAGCGTATTGTATTTTATTAATAAAAGTGCAATGGTTTAATGTAAAAATGTGGAAGTGTGGCTTATTTTTGTTTTAAAGCAATGTAGATTGCGTCCCTAAATAAATACACACCCTATCCCACAATAAAGTTCTTCTTTTGACTTTGTATCAAATTTTATTAACTTTAGCTGCTTATTATTCTAAAATTATATTATTGTATAACATGAAATATACTTTCACTCTTTATTTAAATTACACTTCATTATTAACTTTATAATTATATGCTCTGAAATATTAATGGTTAAGAGTCAACTTTGAAGAATTTGAAAGTTAAATTGAGAATCTATGACCACGACCATGATCAAATGTTACATCAACTCAGGAAACTAATCCATCCTAAAGGATTTGGTTTGGTCTATTTTGGTCTTTTGGTTTAGCTTCTCTATTTTAACTAACATTATGCATTTTTTTTACTCCAGGAGGAGTCTGGGGGAGGGGCTGGGGAAGCCTGGAGTAATCTAGACTGAAACTCATTCCATTGAGTTTCGAACTCGAGACCTCCCGTAAGGGAGAGTGAGTCGGCGACCAGCTGTGCTGGACCGTTTCCTCACTAACATTATGCAAATTTATCTACACATCACACAATAATATATATATATATATATGTGTGTGTGTGTGTGTGTGTGTGTTGGACCAAAAAAGAAATTGAAACCGAACCGTTTATGAGGCACGCAGTTTGGCTCGTTGAATATAATGTTTTCCAATTTTGATCTTTATCTCTAGTATATCGATCAGTTTTGATTCTCGACTATTGAAGGATTTCCACGCTTGATCTTCCTAACAACAAAACAACCGAGTTCAAGCTAAGACAAAATTGACGGGAACTTGGATTCGTGGATGCGTTTAGGCTTTTTATGATTAAAAGAATCAAACTTCAACTACAACTAGGGGTGAACCCATTTTGGGACCTGACATCAATTGTTGTCACCGGCCGGAATTTCTAAGTAGGATTTTTTTCACGATCCTAAACTTGTTATGTTCTTGATAAGTCCAAATGTATGATTTGATTCACAATCCACATGTACGAGCAATTTACCTAGGAACTGAAAGATTATTGGCTTAAAAGCTAGTTTAGTTTTTTAAGAGTTTGTGCCTTTGTGGGTCTAATTGGATGATAGCTATGTTGGAGGTCTTAATTGACTTTTTCATAATAGTAGAGTATTTGACAATTTTCTTGACTGCTATGTTTTTCTTTCTGAAATAGAAATTATTATTGCCATAATTGAAATGCCATGATCAAAACCCAGTCATTAATGATAGTGAATAATGCACTATTCAATGCATAGCATTGCAATCATTTGGGGTAATGTCTACAAGATAAAATTAAAAATATAGCAGCCCTATTTAGAAACTCCAAAACTTATTTCCTCTTCTTTCCGGATCTTTCCCTTTTCATAACCTAGGAAGTCAAAAAACTTGGCAAAGGTCCATAAGTTGAACGTTTTCTATTTAAAAATGTATTTACATGTAAATTTGCAAGAGGGGATCATCAGCAGGAAACACTTTTCATTATTTTCATCCTTGTTTGAACAAATTGTGATGCAAATTCAAATACAGCTCTATGAGCACATGTCATTCTTATCAACCTTTCCTAAACCTCTAAATGGGGTGCCATTTCTGGTTTGATTAACTAAGCTTCCCACGAAAAACTAGTGTTTGACAGTTCAAGAGACTCCAAAATCACATCTCGAACTCCATAATTTGGTTGACAGATTGCCATTAATAACCAAGAATCTCCATTCTGAACTTTTCTTTTGAAGAATTTCTAGGTAGAGGAAGGGATTGGATTCTTTTGGAGACATAACAAGTGCTAACAAAGTAGACTTCGCAAACACGATTTTGGAGCAACTCGGAGACACCAGTTTATTCACAAGTTCAGCAAAATCAGAATGTATCTATTGTTTCCAAATTCAGGGTAGACCCCGCACTCATAAATCTCAAAACGGAGGACCATTCTTGAGTTCTTTAAACAAGTATGGTCCTCTGAAGAATTTATTTATAATGCTGACATGAAGAATTAATGATCTCCTTTTTGAGACTTCCCAGCCAAGATATTCTCCAAAAGAGAGCTACAAGCATCTTCAAGTATATCTAGTACCTACAAGCAAAAGTAGTAAGCAGAATGTAATAGCACGACATAAGGATCATGCCTTCACCAATGCTAGAAAAGGGAAGGGAACAAAATATTTTGGCTGAAGTTGCGTATCCTATCCCTTTTTTTGCCCCACCCGAGGTTCAGCATTCAATATATCTTATTATGAGGTCCCTTATTATAAGATCCAACCCGACAAAATGAAAATAGTAATAATAATAATTTCCGAACAGAAGTCATTTGTATTAGGAGCATCTCTAGCGATTAGTTAATTGCGCTGATGACTTGACTTGACTTGCCACGTAAGCATTTGCGTCAAAATTAAAATGCAGTACAATGTGGTTGGCTATAACTTCTACCTTCATTTAATATTCATAATGTTATATTTAATAATTCTCCTTGTTCAACTTATAGCTCATTTTGACTAATTAGCTTTCTCAAGCAAAAGTAAAAACAATGCTCCAATGGTAAGCTATTAGCTATAAAATTACAAGCAAGTCCTCAAAATGAACAATTGGAGATGTTCTTACTCTCCCTATATATCATTCATAAATGGTACTCCATTTGTCCCATAAAATTCTTCCCACTTACTATAAACTCGAAATAATATTGGAGAGGAAGAAAAATTCTCTGTCGGATGGATTCAAGTTCACATAAATATACATTACAAAGATGGAATATTCCTATAAGACTATAAGAGTCTATATCATAACAATAGTATTTTTTTTATAACAATAGTATCCTAAAGTACATTATTAAAATATTCCAAAACATGTTCCTACATTTATTTTAATATATTTCATACTCCCCCTCAACTTGGAGCATAGATATATTTATCATGTCCAATTTGTAATACCTGAGCGAGTGACTGCGAGATAATTAAGATTTTCAACCCTCTTATATCTTTATGGGTCTTTGAACGGCATGTCTTCTTGAGTGAGTTGCCCATTGGGAACCATGAGTGTATTGCTTGGCTTTTATCCCAATTTTCCCGTTTCAACTAGCAAATCAAGTACATATTTCTGTGGAGATAGACATGTCTTTCTAACTCCGTGTTACCTCAATATTCAAGAAGTATTTCAATAAGTCTAGATCTTTCGTCTTGAATTGACTATGAAGAAAAATCTTAAGGGCCAAAATACATGCACTATCACTCCCTGTAACCACAATATCATCCACAAGCACCACAAGCAATGTGATGCCTGCTTTCGTTCGTCCATAAAAGACAGAGTGATCTAATTGACCTTTTATCATTCCAAATCGTTCAATTGATTGAATTTCCTAAACATGCACGAGGACTTTATTTCAAACCATAACGAAACTTGCAATGTCAACACATTTTCCCATACTCCCCCTAAGAAACAAAACCTGGAAGTTGCTCGATATGAATATCATGAAGGTCACCATGCAGAAATGCATTTTAAATGTCCAACTAATGAAAGTGTCAACCATGAGCTGCAACCTATGTAGCACCGATACCGGTACGCGGAAACGCGGAAACGGGTACAGGGATACGTCCAAACCAAAAAAAAGTAGGATACGAATACAGGGCCATATTTATAAATATTAAAAGTTATGGGGGTGTATTTACAAATATTAAAAGTTATAGGGGTCTATTTATAAATATTAAAAATAGATTTTTTTTTGAAAATATATATATACACACACACACACATATATAATATCCTATTATGTCTACCCATTCATTGCATTGAAGCATTTTCCTTTTTCAAGATACTTAGTAATAAATTCATAATATTTCTCATATACACTAGTCATCTCGAAATATAAATATAGTCAATAAGTCATTAATTTAAAATGAGAAATAAGTCAAACAACTACAATCTTGAAATTAAAAGTGCAAGTATCCAATTCGGAGTATGAGTTAATGACTTATTTCGGATATAGCCATATAGGCCCATTATTTGATTACCAAGTAAAATGTAGTTTTAGATTTTCATTTTTTTTAGAATTTTATTAAGTAAATTTTGGGATTTTTTTTTAAGTTGATACGGGTATCCGTCAGGATACGAGTATCGGAAACTTTCAAAAAATTACAAAAAAAAATGGAAACTTTTAAAAATTGCAGATCCGGCCCGGGAACGTACGGTACGGGTATCCTAGAGTATCGGATACGGGAACGTATCGGATACGCCGATACGCTACCCTAGCGAAGTATCCGTGCTTCATAGGCTGCAACGAGTGAAATAAGTAACCTGATAGATGTTAATTTAGCAACAAGAGAAAGTGTGAGAATAATCAACACCATAAGTTTAAGCAAATCCTTTCACAACTAATTGGGTTTTCAACCAAGCAATACACCCGTCTGGAATAACCTTTACAAAAAAGACCACTTACATCCAATAGACTTATTCCTTGTAGGCAATTTACCAAATCTCAAGTACCATTAATATCCAGAGCAATCACTTCCTCTACCATGGCATGATGTCATTCAAGATGAGACAAAGCTTCTTTAACACATTTGGGAACATAAATAGAATCAATGGAAGCAATAAAAGAACATGAGACAAATGATAACTAACTATTTGATAAGAAAGAAGAAATAGGATGAGTACAATACTATGTACCTTTACGTAGTGCTATCGGGAGGTCAAGATCTAATGTAGACACAAAATCTGAAAATGCGGGTAATGGTTCATCACATGAACCACTACCCTAGGGCCTTAGGTCTGTGCCCTTGCAGTTATGTGCATGTGTGTGAAAAACTTGAGCCCCTGCAGCCCATCCCAGTCATAAGCCCACTCAACTCCCTGCGGATGTGCCCCTAGACCGTCTTGGCCCATCTACCCAAATCAGAGCAGCCCAAGTGAAGGCCTTGTGTACTAAACACTTAAATAGATGACATAAAGCAACCAATAGTGGAACCAGCACTCATGATCTGGGGGCACATTAGCACATAAATCATATATATCATGAATATAGTAATAAACAAAAACCATAAAGTCTAAATAAAATAACTAATTAAGGGAATACCTTAACTTTGATTAGAAACTGATGTGTCAAATGAAGGAGAATAATTTAGAGGTGGCAATCTTGTCTTCGAGGCGTCTTACTCTGAAATTACCTCATAATGACTTCAATCTCAATTTTCACAAAAGCATCTTTCACAATCAAACAGACCAGACAACTTGTCAGGTATTCTTCTTCAATCTTGTTGCACAAATCATTCTTGATAAACTTCATTGTTGAGAAAGATCTTTCAAATGTGATTGTTTTAATTGATAAAACCAATGCCAACTGAACGAGTCGGTACACTAACTTATAAGTTGTGTGTCATTCTGTTTCAACCATTCTTTTTGCCAAATCTCCAATAGTTTATAGGCACGAAAGTTGTGAAGATGATTTGACAAATGTAATAAATACCCTAAGTTGTTCATTTAGTTCAATTTTTTCTCTTGAGGTAAAAATTTTCTGGGTATAATTCAGGAAGACGAAGTAGTCACTTTCTATCAAAATTGGAAAATGGGAGTTTAGGACTTAACAACGATATACACATTAGTAGCTCCGAACTTAACTCGGTGAAGCGATTATTCGTCTCTTGAATAAGATGATCAATAACCTAACATTATATTAAAAAAACATAATGAATAACAGTGGCAAAATAAATTTAAATACAATCAAATAAGGAATAAAAGTCTAAAAATATCTCGAGAAAAATGTCAACATGAAAATAGTTGTAATAAGTTTTCGGGCTACCACCAACTGTCCTATGTCTTTCCACTTGATCTGGCTTTACATCCATCATACTACGTACATCAATATCATGCTTTGAACAAAATCTAGTCACTTCTTCAAAAAACAAACCTCAACCATAATCATTCCTATGATTCTTCAAATCGGTCCGACATTAACAAGATTCACAACATTATCTATGTTTTGATTCTTTTGTTGCAATTTCTTTGATAGCACATTAGTTTTTTCCAATAATCACAACATGAAATGCAATGAACACAAAAATCATAAATTGTCATTTTTTCAATCAAACTAGAAGTTGAATTACTTTTAAGATCAACACCATCTTCAAATATAACTTAGAGCACCTCAAAGAGAGCCCATCGAGTATCACCAAGTCATGTTAGACTGTTTTCTTGATTTTTTCCCTCCCCCGTGCTAACCTCACTACATTCCATAAGACTTACAAGATCTTTATAATGTTTTTGTAAATGATCATATTTTCTTTTACATGATGCACCAGCCACATTTACAATCATGACAAGAAAATGATAAGAAAAACTATTAACTATTTCATTGTTCTTCATAGAGGACACAATCACTAACTGAAGGCGATGATCAAAACAATGGACATCATATGCTTGTTTATTTCCTCATATATTTTTTTGTTTTAAGCCTTTAATCTCCCCGCTCATATTGGAAGCATCATCATAACCTTGACTTCGAACCTTAAACAATGGAAGATCATATTTTGTAAAAAAAAATCAACAATAGCAGTTTTCAAAGTCTATGCAGAAGTGTTACTGACCTACACGACTCCTAGAAATCACTCAATTACCTCCCCATATTGAACTTTAATGAACTCTCCCGAGCCTCATCAATCAATAGAGAAAAAACTTGCTACCAATCTCATCAAGAATAGATTGTCTTACCTCCATTGCACAAATTGTAATTATTGAGATTGATAGCACATTTTTTCTCTATTGATTGATAAGGATCGAGATAGTTCAATAAAGGAGCAAATGTCTATTTTCAAGATTTGTTAATATTCATGAGGAGGTAATTGAGCGATTTTTAGGAGTCATGCATGTCAGTAACACTTCTGCACAGACATTGAAAAATGCCATTGCTACTCGATTTTTTTTTTTTTGCAAAATATGGTCTTTCACTGTCTAAGGTTCGAGACCAAGGTTATGATGGGGCTTCCAATATGAGCGGTGGGATAATGGCTTAAAGAATTGTGGAAAAAACAAGCTCACAATGTCCATTGTTTTGGTCATCGCCTTCAGTTAGTGATTGTGTCCTCTTTGAAGAACAATTGAATACTTTGTGCGTCTTTTCATCATCTTGTCATGATTGTAAATGTGGTTAGTGCGTCATGTAAAAAAAAGTTTTTTCTTTTGCAAAACACCCGCCTTTAGTCATGAAGATCTTGTATGCCATATTTAACGTGGCGAGGTTAACACAGGTAAGAGGAAAAATTAAGAAAAAAGTCTAGCACCACCCGGTGATACTCGTTGGGACTCTCATTATACAATAATTATTAGAGTTGTAAATATGTGGGATGCAGTAATTGAGGGGCTTGAAGCTATATTTGATGATGGTGTTGATCTCAAAAGTAAGTTCACTTCTTCTAATTTGATTGAAAAAATGACAGCCTATAATTTTGTGTTCATTTATCATTTCATGTTATATTTATTGGGAAAAACTAATGTGTTATCAAAGAAAATGCGACAAAAGAATCAAAACATAGACAATTTTGTGGATCTTGTCAAGGTCGTGATGACCGATTTGGAGAATTATAAGAATGATTATGGTTAGGGTTTGTTGGTTGAAGAAGTGACTACATTTTGTTTAAAGCATGATATTGATGTACCTAATATGAAGGATGTAATGTCAGGTCGAGTAAAAAGGAATAAGACAGTTGATGGTAATCCGAAAACTTATTACCACTATTTTCATGTTGATATTTTTCTCGAGATACTTTTTAGACTTTTATTCCTTATTTAGTTGTATTTCAATTTACTTCGCCGTTGTAATTCATAATGTTTTTTAAAATATAATGTTATGTTATTGATTATCTTATTCAAAAGATGAGGAATCTCTTTACTGAGTCAAGTTCGGAGCAACTAATCTGCATAACGTTAATAAGTCCTCAAGACTCATTCTCCAATTATGATGTGTAGCGACTACTTCGTCTTGCTGAATTATACTCAGATGATTTTAGCTCAAGAGAAAAAATTTAACTAAATGAACAACTTAGGGTGTTTATTGCATTTGTCAAATCATCTCCACAATTCTCGGGCCTACAAACTATTGGAGATTTGGCAAAAAGAACGGCACACAACTTATCAGTTAGTGTACCAACTCATTCAGTTGGCATTGGTTTTCCTTGTTACAAAAACAAACACAGTTGAAAGATCTTTCTCGATGATGAAATTCATCAAGAATGATTTGCGCAACAAGAATGGAGAAGAAAGATTGCTTGTGTTACATTGAGAAAGATGTTTTGTTAAAATTGAGAATGAAGTCATTATGAGGCGATTTCATAGTATGGCGCTTCAAAAACATAGATTATTGCCACCCTCGTTGTTGAAATACTTCGTTAAATGCCATGTTAAGCCAGTACGTTTCCCGATCGCGCACCTCTAAGTCCAACACATCTCATAAGTGGCTCATCATTCGAATATAGTTGCATGCATACTCGGGTATAAATTCAGCAAGTATTCGAAACTTATGTTCCAATTGCTTCACCATATATTCACCACATGGTTCAGAATTGTATTCTCTCTCCTCTTCAAGTTCACCTCGAAGGATGAGTAACATTGTTCACAGAAATGTCCCATGTGACAACCCCGTTATATTTCCCCTTGTCGTCATCTCAACATGTGAACGCCACTCCTTCTAACAATCTTGTCGCGGCTCTCATTTTTACATTAATTGCATGTCAAGGTTCACTTCGTTTAGTCTCTTCACCCACTGAGCTGTGATAGAAATGTCTCTTGTTCCATCAAATAGTTTGCATCCTTAAGTGTTGCCTCTTTGAGGTATTTCGAGATTCTTATGATTGATATCTCAATACCTTGGCCTACACGTGGCTCAACGTGTGCCCTAGAAACACAAAGGTTTCCTCTTCCCGAAGCCCCTTCTGAAATATGTCTTGCCCGGCGCCTTTGACGTTACCTTTCCCTTATCTCACGTTCACACTGGTAGCTTTGGAGTAACTCCTCTATACTCCCCAATGTTCCTTTTGAAAGAACAAATTTTGATACTTCACTATAACGTTTGTGCACTAAAGTTCAGATACCAATTAAATTGTCACGCCTTGGACTTCCCCGGACACAACAACAATCACCGTACAACTTGGATAATTCAACCATAAAGTACATCCATAACAAACATAGGTAAAGCAATTCAATACCTAGCGGAAAACAATATGTTTAAAAGCAAAGGCCACATGGGGCAATCACGAGCATGTGGGCTCCCATAAGATTTAAAGTGAATGGAATGGAGGAAGCACGAACCAAATCTTCACTCGAAATGTGTCCATGAGCATGTTTATTATAGTTTCAAAATAGAATGGAGGAAGCACGAACCAAATCTTCACTCGAAATGGATCAATGGGCACTAGTTACTTCAAACTTTATAGTATTGGTGATAGTATAATCTAAGATGTAACCCCTAGTTACCCTGTTTTACAACATACTTATACAAAGTCAAGTAGTTGAGCCGTCGGCCCATTTATATATAAATCATTTCCCATTTACAACTCGTAGGTTTGCATAACCTAAATGGTATTAACCATCCTATGGGCCCATCCTCACTCTTAAAACTCCATAGAGTCTTGAGGGCGAAACCCGACTATATCATCTAACAACGTCATTGCAAGTCCAACACTTCACGGGTTCTTGAGTCAATGTCAAGCCTCCTTGGCCCTAGACTCGTATCTTTTTTCGCGTAGGAAGGTAGGGTCTATTGGGATCCTAAACAATGTCACCGCTTGTTCAAAGTTATGTATGGTCATTGGTTCGGGGTCCATTCTCTATATGTGATCATGTTGGTAAGTCCATGCAATCTAGTTGCTCTCTCTGGAGATGGCCCGGGCCATAATCCTTACCTCTAACCTTGTGAGTCCATACAAATTTGACACCACTCCTTAGAAAAGGGTTTGGCCTCTGCTCTAACATTGAAACACATTTGGGTATCGACTGTCGAAAGGTAGCCATACCATGGACCATTTGTGTATGCTCCAACCAAATCAGATATACATGGTAGCCATACCACGGACCATTTTCGTTACATAAAATATCCATTTCCCTATCCACACATTCTATACATGAGATAAATATCCGTAACTCAAAGCAATAGTATAATTAAAAACCATTCGAATGATAGCGAATGATCAAAACAGCTAACAGAATCCGCTGATAGAATTGACTATCAATTAACAACTAGTGTTGATTGTCGAACACCCCCAATATAAAATGGCTCTGTAAAAAATGTTGTTAAGGCTATATCTTGGTGGGGCATGAATTGTAATTAGTTTCAATAACATTCAAATTAATGGTCATTATCATATATGATGGTCACCTCGCTCTTCTTTGAGTTATGATAAGCCTATAACATGTCATGTTGCTTAATATATGCTCCTACCTATGGTTGATAGTTTGAATATTTTGTATTATGAACATGAAACCAGGGTCTGAATGATTTTTTTTCTAAGAGGTAAATAGTAGAGTTAGAATGGATGTTGCATTTGGTTTGTTGCATTTGGTTCACTGGAGTAAAGAAGGAATTAGTCATTTAGAAAACTTTATAAATTAATAGTAAAAATATTATTTAATACTCCCTACGCATTTTGTAATTTAACTATTTAAAAAGTCAAACAAAATCTTATGCTGAAGTAAAAACTAAAATCATATATTTAGAAGAGCAGAAATTTAAATGGAATATGATAAAAATTTGAAACATAAAATTAAAGGTTAAAGGTGAATTGTGTTGACCGGGTGTACAGTAAACCTGGGACTATCATTTCGGGCAAAGGTAGTACGTACTACGTAGTATAACTTTTTAGGTGTATTTTTTAAGAAGTGATCGATAATTACAACAATAACAATGTAGATCACATTTAATTTAAAAAGGCAAAAAAAGGAAACAAATTAATCCTTCAAAATACCACAGACTGGGGTAATGAGATATGAGGAGTTTGGGGGAGTCAATAGCTCCTCTGCCCACACCCACCTCCCTTCTAACTCACAACACTCGTAGATTTACATCCCCTTCTTTCCAAGGCCCTCCAACCAAACATAATCTACATTCTCTAGTAATATGAAATTATGAAGGGGATGAGATTTCTAGACCACCTTTCCCTGGCTATTTTGCAGAGAGGTGAATTCAAATCCTAGACCTCCAAGATGCACGCACAGAGGCTCAATAATACAATCTAAAAAAGATGCTCTGTAAGTTGTAATATGAAATCCATCAAATTAAGCTTCACAGAATCCAACACACACAGATAATGTATTCAAATTTGACTCATGGGTCCAATTAGTTGAAGAAACATCTTAAGCATGTGTCAAACATTACCTTCTCAAAGCCTTGAGGTCCACCATAGTACGGGTCGGGCACCTCGGTCTCATCATGCTTTTCACAATAGGAACACATTAATTGAACCTTCACGATTATCCATAATAGCACATATATAAATAAACCAAAAGAATGAAAGGAAAGATATGCAGCAAACATTTCATCACACAATAGAGTTGCATGCTTGCATTTTACCTTCTCATGTACGTCTACAGATAACCCCTCTCTTTTGCTCCACCTCGTAAATTCCTCAAGTATATCGCCTAAACAAAAAGAAATCCAGTAACCTATTCAGTTTCAGTAACATGGGACTCTTAGGGACCAAACAAATCCAGGAAGATTTGATTTGCTTGTTCATGGAGTGATCAGGACCTTTGTTAGTAATATACGGTACGTAAATAATACAATAATACGTACGTTCGTGTATAATACGATACAATTATATAAAATACGGCTTAATATATGTTTCATACGTTCGTGAAATATATAAAGATACGGACGCGTTTTAAACGTTTCACAATTTAAAAATACGGCATATAATATGTGTCTTATATACTATGTGCTTATTTAATGATAGAAATAAAGAGTTATTTAACATTTGCACTACAATCTTCAACAATTTAATGTACGGAATAGTTTTTTTTTTCAGATTTACGTATTTAAATGCATAGGTACAATACGTAATAAAAATGACATTGCCTATTTAAGTAGAAGTGGAGAGATATTACTAGAAAATAGTTGATATTACTTTGACCATGAGTTTAGTGAGCCGACACAACATTTTTCGATCTCTTTGGAGTCTTGGTATATGGGTGGAGAACAAAAGTAATACAATAGTAGTACAATAGAAATATCGAAAAAGATTACGAATTTAAGAAGCTAATTCATTAAATGTAATGACCGTTAAACACTTAGCGAACATAGCGAACATATAAGGCATAACATTTTTTTAAGCAATATAAATAAAATTGAGTAGCTTGACATGCATTTTGTTTCAGTTGTATCACTCCATTAGGCTTCCGTTTAATGGTGTTTTTTTTAATATACGTATCAATACGTACAGTACGTGTATTATACATTTTATCCTTAAAGTACGTGAGTTTTTCAGAATTTTTTGAAAAATTCATAAACAAGAGTATTACACGTAATAAAATACGTATCAATACGTATGGTACATGTATTATACATTTTATCCTTAAAGAACGTGAATTTTTCAAAAAAATTTGAAAAATTCATAAACGGGAGTATTATACGTGAATTATATGTTCCAGTGTATTATACTCGAATTATACACGAATAAAAAGAACATATTTGTGATGTGATCACATTCCACCTTGTTTTTCAGTGTAAAAATATGGAGTTTCCATAAAACAAAACTCACTCTTATTGTTTTCATCCATGGCAATGATAAGATCGAACTCCTTGAAATCAGAGGGTCTAATTGGCCTAGAGATAGAAGTTATTTCAATTCCACGCCTTTTAGCTGCAGCCCTCATTCTTGAATCTGCTTGTGAACCCTAGCAAAATCGACCAAACATTCCCCTTTGTCAATTCATTAATCGCAATTCACACACACAAAACACCATACCTCGTGGTAATTGATAGTTCCAGCAGAATCAATGTAGAACCTAGATTCAAGGCTTCTTTCCTTCACCAAATCCCTGAACACAGCCTCGGCAGCTGGGCTTCTGCAGATGTTCCCAAGGCAGACGAAGAGAACTGAAAATGGCTTGGTTGGTTCTTCAGCCCCTGCATGTGTGCCTGATGACTGAGAAGAAGCCATTAAGGCCGCTTTGGTTAAGGGTCCTCTTAGAGTCTGCGGTAAACTTCGAAGGGACGGAAATCTTGAAGGTAGAAGATTGCTCAGAAGCGGAGGGCCGAGATGAGGGAAAGGGTTTGGTACCTTCGAGGATTGGGGTATGGGCATGAGGGCTTTACTATTACTGTGCAATGTCCTCATGGATCAGGAGCTAGGGTGCTTGGCATTTGTCAACCCTCCCATAGAAAATTTATAAACCTACAATTGTGAGATCCATATCTTGACGTATCCTCATACGTAGTATATCCGTTCGCTATTAAGCTGTCTCAAACCTGTTTGTTGTATACATAAATACAAATCAAGCTTTGGGCTACTCTAATCAGAGTCAATTAAGATCAAGATAGTAATTAGATCCTGATAAGCCTCAACAATGAGCACATAGACTACAAGATTGATCTGCTTCAACGAGTCACCATCTTGTGGGGCGTATTAAGCTGTCCCACATCGTTTGCGTTTAGAAATAACCTTTTAGGATGGAACTTCAAGTCTTAATATGTTGTCCTTCCCATAAAGATGAATTATATTCTGTTGGATTCTGGAGTTCCTGTCTTTTTTTTTTTTTTTTGCAAGTGAGAGAATTGACTTCATTAATCAAATCATTATCCAGCATACAAGAGATAAAAAAAGATGGATCAAAAGACCAAAAATGCGATCAACAACTCAACTACCGGCAATCGCAAGGTCCGTATCTTGAGGACGCCCTTCTTTCATTGGGGATTATTGTACTTGCACATCTCACACATTCAAAAGTAAGAAAATCATGCTCACTCCCTCGGGTATTTACGTAGTGTTTCAAAAGTTAGTCTGGGACTTGGAACCGTAAAACAAGAAAAACTTATCCGAATCAAATCGAATTATCCGGTTCAGTTCAGTTCCTATAATTTTTTAATTCTGTTTTTTTTGTTCAGTTCATATAGTATTTGATTGGTTCGGTTCCGGTTCTTAGCAGGAACTGGGCTTCTCTTACATTGCATAAGTGATCATAATTTGAGGTGCTTCTGAGTGGTATTTTTTATGAAATTTTAGCAGCTTGATTTTCATGAAGTATAGATTATGTCCATCAAATTTCATCTTAAAATTCAATCGGGAAGTCAGTTAAATAAATTATTGAAAAATATTACACCAATATATAAATATATATTGTTGTGAAATTAAATGAAGAAGATGCAGATCAGATTAAAGAGATAGATATTTTAATAAAAGCTCTGCATTACTTCTTAATATCTGAGATTTTCTGAGTTTCTGAATTGCTTGAATTAATTTTACAAAGGATTGAATGCCATATTTATGCTAGCCAGACTTGGGATGAATCATCTAGGAATGATTCTACATAATTTACTGGCAACATTAAACCTAAACATCTGTCTTATTACAAGGACTAGAATTGGATTAGTGTCCTGATGACAAGGATGAAACATTCACATTTGTCATTCTCAGGAATTTACAACACTTCCCCTTGAATGTTCATCCTTGAATATGTATTTGTTATGTTATTGTGAAAATGAGTGTGAAAATTAAGGGGTAAAAATTACGACATATAATGTCGTTGTATTTGGATGTACTGTCTCGTTAAAACCCTTATCAGGAAAAACCCAGTGGGATAAAAACCTGATGAAGGGAAAAAGAGTGCAGTGCATTCAAATACTCCCCCTGAAATTAACATAAATTTTGAAGGCGGCGCATGCCGATTTTCTGTACAAGTTCAACGAACTTCTTCGGGGGTAAAGATTTGGTGAAGAGATCAGCTCGATTTTCACTGGATCTGATTTGCTGAACGTTGATCGTCCCTTCTTTCTCAAGGTCGTGAGTAGAGAAAAATTTTGGAGATATATGTTTCGTTCTATCTCCTTTGATGTAGCCTTCTTTAATTTGAGCTATGCACGCAGTGTTGTCTTTGTATACCACAGTAGGGTAAACAGTAATAGGCTTTATACCGCATTCATTCTAGATGTGTTGAATCATATATCGCAGCCATGCACATTCTCTTCCGGTTTCATATAGTGCAATTAACTCCGAATGATTTGATGATGTAGCTGTCAACATCTGTTTCATAGATCTCCAAGAGATTGCGGTATTAGCATAAGTAAATACGTACCCGGTTTGTGATTTTGCCTTTTGAGGATCTGATAAATATCCAGCGTCCGCATATCCGATTAAAGAAGCTTTGGCATCTTTGTGGTAGAATAGGCCGAGATCAATTGTACCACGGAGATAACGGAATATGTGCTTGATCCCGTTCCAATGACGTCTTGTTGGACATGAGCTGTACCTAGCTAATAAATTTACAGAAAATGCAATATCTGGTCTAGTATTATTAGCTAAATACATTAAAGCTCCTATAGCACTCAGGTATGGTACTTCGGGACCGAGTATTTCGTCGTCTTCCCAGGGACGAAATGAATCATCTTGTATGTTGAGAGATCGAATGACCATTGGTGAAGTCAAAGGATGAGCTTTGTCCATATAGAATCTCTTCAACACTTTCTCGGTGTAATTGGATTGGTGGATGAAAATTCCATTCTTCAAATGCTCAATTTGAAGTCCGAGACAAAATTTGGTTCTCCCGAGATCTTTCATTTCAAATTCTTTCATAAGATATTTTGCAGTATTTTCAATTTCATTGGGAGTTCCAATAATGTTTAAGTCATCAACATATGCTGCAATTACGGTGAATCCCGAATTTGATCGCCGAATGAAAACACATGGACGAATTGGATCATTCTTATATCCTTCTTTGAGAAGATATTCACTGAGACGATTATACCACATTCATCCAGATTGTTTTAGTCCATACAATGACTTTTGTAATTTAATGGAAAACATGTCTCGAGGTTTCGAGCTATAAGCTTCAGGCATTTTAAATCCACCAGGAACTTTCATATAAATGTCTGTACCGAGTGAACCGTATAAATATGCGGTCACTACATCCATTAAACGCATTTGCAGCCTTTCAAAAACAGACATGCCAATGAGAAACCTTAATGTAGTTGCATCAACTACTGGAGAATAGGTTTCTTCATAATCGATTCCCGGCATTTGAGAAAAACCTTGGGCAACAAGTCGGGCTTTATATCTAACAATTTCATTTTTCTCTTTGTGTTTACGCACAAATACCCATTTAAAACCCACAGGTTTTACGCCTTTTGGCGTAGGGACTATCGATCCAAAAACATCACGTTTTTCAAGTGATTTTAATTCAGCCTGAATAGCTTCATTCCATTTTGGCCAATCTTGTCGTTTCCGACATTCTTCAATTGATGTTGGCTCATTGTCATTGTTTTCATTCATAACATTTGTGGCAACGGCATAGACAAATATCTCATTATTATCAATATTTTTTCGATTCCATTGCATTCCAGTAGAAACGTAGTTTATTGAAATTTCATAATTATCAACGTTTCTATCAGTATCTGGAATATCTTCCTCATTTAAGGAAGTTGGATCATTATTTGAGATGTTTGTTCTGTCAATATCATTTTCTATGCCAGTATTTTCAAATTGTTCATTTTCTTGTTCAGAAGGATGAACATCTTTGGCATCACAGATCAATTCCTGCCTTTTAATTCTTCTTGGTTTTATGTCTTTCTATCCAAGTGGCCTGCCACGCTTTTTGCGTATAGAAGAATCATTTGCAAGAGATTTTTCAGAATTCTCTGCTGGGATTTTGATTCTGGCAGGGGCATTCATAGCAGGAATATGTGACTTTGTCACTTTCTTTGTATCTGTGAATGCATCAGGCAACTGATTTGCAACATTTTGTAAATGGATTATCTTTTGCACCTCTTGCTCACATATATTTGATCTAGAATCAAGGTGTGATAATCCTGTTGCATTCCATGTCATTTCTTTCGTACTTGGGTCCGATTTATTAGTTTCTCCCCCTAAGGTTTGGAATACTGTCTCATTGAAATGACAGTCGGCGAACCGTGTGGTGAATAAGTCACCAGTCATCGGTTCAAGATATTTTATTATTGAGGGAGATTCAAATCCAACATAAATTCCCAACCTTCTTTGAGGACCCATTTTTGTACGATGAGGTGGAGCAATCGGCCCTAAGGTTTGGAATACTGTCTCATTGAAATGACAGTCGGCGAACCGTGTGGTGAATAAGTCACCAGTCATCGGTTCAAGATATTTTATTATTGAGGGAGATTCAAATCCAACATAAATTCCCAACCTTCTTTGAGGACCCATTTTTGTACGATGAGGTGGAGCAATCGGAACATAAACAGCACAACCAAATATCTTTATGTGTGCTAAGTTTGGCTCTTGTCCAGTAACTAATTGCATTGGGGAATATTCATGATACGCAGTTGGTCTAAGGCGAATTAAATTTGCTGCATGCAAAATAGCATGTCCCTAAGCTGATGAAGGTAAATTACACTTCATTAATAATGGTCTAGCAATTAATTGTAATCGTTTAATCAAAGATTCAGCAAGACCATTTTGTGTATGGACATGAGCAACAGGGTGCTCCACATCAATCCCAATTGACATACAATAGTCGTTAAATGATTGTGAAGTAAATTCTTCTGCATTATCAAGTCGGATTCTCTTTATAGAATGATCCGGAAAATGAGCTCTTAATCGTATAATTTGAGCGAGGAGTTTAGCAAATGCTAAATTTCTAGTCGATAAAAGACTAACATGTGACCAACGTGTTGAAGCATTAATCAACACCATAAAATATCGAAATGGTCCACATGGCGGGGCTATCGGCCCACAAATATCTCCTTGAATCCTTTCTAAAAACGCAGGTAATTCAGTTGCAATTTTGTTCATAGAAGGCCTGATGATCATTTTGCCAAGAGAACAGGCCTTACAAGGAAAATCACTTGATAATGGAACTCTGATATTCTTTAATGGGTGTCCAAGTGAAGTTTTAATGATTTTATGCATCATTACTTGGCCTGGGTGACCTAAACGGTCATGCCACAACATGAATGTTTTCTGATCATCTAACTTTGCGTTAGAAACTAAATTTATTTCGAATGGACTAATATAAGTGAAATATAGTCCTGAGGAATAAGCTGACATTTTTTCACAAATATGTTTAGTGCCAGATTTAGTTGTCGTAAGACAAAGATATTCTTTTTGGTTTTCATTCATGGTTTCTATGTGATAACCATTTTGACGCATACCTTTAAAGCTTAATAAATTTCTCCGCGATTTGCTGGAGTATAAAGCGTCATTTATAAGTAATTTTGTCCCATTAGGGAGCATCACATATGCTTTCCCAGAGCCTTCAATGAGCTTCGCAACACCTGATATTGTATTGACTTTAACTTCAACTAAAGTCATTTGAGAAAAATATATTTTATTTCTCAAAATGGTGTGTGTTGTGGCGCTGTCTATCAGACATAGCTCTTTATCACTTGGATGATCCATATCTTCAATATATGTAAATAAGTATAAGTTCGATATGCCAAAAAATCGTACGGACTAATTGATTTCAATTTATAAGTTGACGTAGTCAAAGATAATATTTTATTATTATGGAAGCAACTCAGGTACCTCTCTATGGGCAAGTATATTGATCGCTTGTAATTTCCGTGTGTTTATTTACGTTTTTAGTTAGTTTTGGTTGTTTAATATTTCGGAAATTACACACTTTTGGTGTAATAGTTTAGTTTGTCAAACTCTTGTAAATTGTTTAGATTAGGTTTATTCTGAGCTCAAACAGGTCTACTATCACTCAAAGGACAGTTGGTGAACCCCAAAAGTGGAAAGAAGGTGCAAAATCACAAGACAAAAGGGAAGATCCTAATTTTTGGTCTATACCCGGTCGAGTATCATCTATACTCGATCGGGTATCTTGTTGAAATTTCAAATCGGATCGGATCCGAAAACAAAGGAACATGCAGGGAAGATTTTGACACGATCGAATGTCTATACCCGATCGGGTACACCGACATACTCGATCGGGTATAGCTATAAATTTTACTCGAATATCGATCGAGTATGGATCGAATTCGAGTATCTACACATACTCGATCGAGTATCTGTATATACTCGATCGAGTACCCGACCTGCACCCCAAAAAGTCCAATAAATACACCTCTTTTCCTTCACAATTAGATACCAATTCCTTTATACTCTTAAGCTCAGTTTAGAATAGCATTTCTCTATATTTCTTTTAGCATGTTTAGTCTCCAAATGAGGAGCTAAACTTCCATTTCTTGGTTTTGCTCTTAAAGCTTGTTGATTATTAAAGTTGTGAGTTATTTTCTTACTTTCTCCTCTTGATTATTAATTCTTCCCTTAATCTCATTCTATATTAATGTTGGAGGGTTACTAAGTGACGATTAGTTAACGTTCCGACATTAATTATTACTAGAAACGATCAACGAACCGATGGTTAATCGTTGATGGTTTCACAAGTAAGTAACTTCGGTTTATTAATGCACGGTCGTGGTTGATAAACTTAAGAGGATTAATTTTGTTGGTTAAACCAAAACCGTTGTGTTGAGGTTATCAATCTCAATTGATTTCATCAAGGAGTTAAAGAGGTTAAATGCTACTATCAAGTCGGTATATGGCGGTGTTCTATATTTGACTAATAGTAAGGGTTATTAATGAACGGTCGTTGTTAATAACTACCCTCGATGAATTGGATATACTCCTCGATTGAGTATTCGAGAGGGGATAAGTTATAGATATAACAATGATGAGGGCTCTTCTCATCAGGCCGGCCTGACGGGCTGCCCCGTCCGGCCGAGCCCGTTTGGGCACCTTCCCGGTGGAATTTTTTGATGAAATTTTTTGAGCATGTTCCTCATCAAGTCTAGTTTGTCCATACCAAAATTCAGCTCAAAATTCGATCGGGAAGGTAGTCAAATGATTTTTGCAAGTTAACTGGTCTGGAAAATACATATTCCGGACCAGTTAACTTGCAAAAATCATTTGACGACCTTCCCGATCGAATTTTGAGCTGAAATTTGGTATGGACAAACTAGACTTGATGAGGAACATGCTCAAAAAATTTCATCAAAAAATTCCACCGGGAAGGTGCCCAAACGGGCTCGGCCGGACGGGGCAGCCCGTCAGGCCGGCCTGACATGAAGTTTACTCTAACAATGATTGACTAAAATATATCAACAAGTGGAAAGTAGCAAGACCAAGTCCCTTTTATTCTTGAATTTAATCCCATATAACTCGTTCATCTTCGTGTTTAATTTAATTAAATCACTCAACAATCAAAACCCCCCTTTATTTACTCCTTTCGTTAAAAAGATAAATTATTCCTTTCCCTGTGGATACGAACTCTACTTCACATATTGTGACACCGCACCCGAACGTCCTTGAAAATTCGATTTAAAAATTCAAAAGTGATGTATTGAATTTCCAATTTCAAAACAATGGGAGAAACGATTAATATTTTACGAAGTACATGATTGAATATTGTATTGTTCAAACCCGCATTCTTTTGTAATTTTCATCGTGTAAATTATTGGGATGAGCCTACACATATTGGAGATCAATAATGTGATTTAGGAAGTTGACTTGTTCTAAATAAATTAGGATGAGTACAAAAAGACATCTTTGACAAAGATAAAACAATAGGACCCATCTTCCCATTTTTTGGAAGTATTGGTAGATATTTTGGACCCCAAATTTAATGGGATCAATTGGGAACCACTCCACATGGTATTAGTACCTGCAAAACAAATAAAAATGGGTTAGGAGACTTACCTTGGCCGGCCATTATGGAGAAGAGCTGCACATGACTTGATAAGAATCAAAGTTTGGGGCCACCACTCTTATTTTCGCACAAATTGGTGTGCTGTTTGTCTCCTCTCATTATAGGAGCTATCCTCAACCAAATAACGTGTATGAGGTGTCCTTGGATAGCCTTTGAAGTCTATTATCTCAATTGAGTGGTCTTTGTTCGAGGAGAGAAGGCTTATCTTGCAAAAATCGAGCTGGAACGAGCAAAGGTCTGTGAACTCGAGCTGTGAGAGTGCTGAGACTGTTTGGTCGATATCTCGAGTTTTACAAGTCCAATTAAGGCGTGTGAGATACCCACAGAAAGCTCTCAAGACGAGGAATCCGTGAAGGTCTGGTTTGCAGGAATCGGAGTTGTGGAAGGCTTCCAAATCGTCCGAGCAAAACACAACCTCGCAGGAGAGGATTTAATCTTCTAAAGTGAGTTTTAACCCCAAAGCTTTACTTTTCATTCTCCAAATGATATGAACGATTGGTGAGACTATTATACACTAATCCAAGTGTATAATATGTCCCTAAAAAGTTATCTTATTGATGTAAAGGTTAGATACTAACCTAGATGCAAATATTGGAAAACTAGGAATCGAGTTAGCCGGAAAACACCCGTTCTAGGGGCTGTTTTCGTATCAACGATTAAGGGTTGAACTAGCACTTTGAGGAGGCTGTTTAACACTCATATTTGAGCAAGGAATCAGTCCCAAATCCACCTTGACCAAAGATTTGACCATTGGACCAAGAAGGGAAAGTTTAAAGCTCAATTGAGGTGAGGATTGACATCTAATTGCTTACAACTTGTAGGTTAAGCATGAGATTACCTAAATGCTTAAATCATGATTTTTCATGGATTATGATGACTATATATTGATGAAATATTGATATAGTTGCCAAAGAATGAATTTGGAATGATTTGAGAAAGTATGAATAATATGAGATTAAATGAGTATAAATGAACTATTTTGTGAAAATGGGCATTTTGCTCATGTATGAATCATGTGGATACATAAATGAATATTTGTGTATTGAGATTGAATACTTAAGTTGCTGCTACATAATTATAAATATGTAGAGAATTACAAACAATGAGGATAATGGTACGATAACAATAATCTTAATAGTATTGGAATACTAGTTAGTGATTATTGGAACTTGTTGATTAAATTGATCCTAGGGATTGGATTGTATGAAAGGTACTTGAATGTAGTTCAAGTGTATATGATAACTTAGTATGGAACTAAGGTTAAGTTATGGGGAGTCTTTAAGGATGACCCATGGTAGTTTAATGATATGTCAATTCTAGGCATAGGGTTGCTTGAGAATTGGACCTTAATGCATGGTGATGTGATAGAGCCGAGCTCTAGAATGCATGTAAGGTGTAGACTTGGAGTCTATGTATTGTATAGCTAGAGCCGAGCTCTAGGACTTGCGTGGTGATGTGATAGAGCCGAGCTCTAGAACGCAAGGTAGGGAAATTGACCCGAGGTATATGAATTGTATGGTGATGTGGTAGAGCCGAGCTCTAGAATACAATGTCATGTACTAGGGTTGGACTCTAGGAGTTGTCGTGGCTTATAGTCACGGGGTTGGGAATGGTGATTTCCAAATGAAAACGGGCCCACGGGCCGACTACTTGACTTTTATATAAAGTAAGTATATTTTTAAACGGGGTAACTTAGGGTTACAATCATAATGTACTATCACCCTACTTGAGGGTCTTGTGTTTGAAATACTTGTTGTATATCTATTAGATGCCTGCCACACCAGTACTTTATAGCCGTATAGAGTACTGACCCCTTCGGGGGCGTCCCACCATCATTTCAGGTTGAGGCTAGAGCTTGCTTCCTGTGCTCGTGGATCGAGTGATTCCTTGGAGAGAAGACTTGGTTCGTGCTTCCTCCATTCTGTTTTTAAATAATTTTAAACTTGCTCATGGATATTTTACTTTAGAGCCTGCGTGCTCATGTTTGCCCTGTGTGGCCCTTTTGTTTTAAACAATGTTTTCCGCTGCGTATTCAATTGTTTATTATGTATGTTTATGGATGACTTATGTGTGAATGATATTCATGACGCCTTGTATAATATGAATGTGTTGGACTGCGGTTGACTATTCGTATCGTACGGCGGGTTGTTGACGTGTCCGGGGAGGTCCGGGGCGTGACAATTAAGTTGGTATCAGAGCCAGGTTCATAAACTTCATAATGAAGTCTCAAAATTCTCTTTTTGAAAAGATTTTGAAAACCATGAGCATGGAAGTTTTGTACTTGGAGAGCTTTTGGTACTTGGGTTGCAAGGTCTCTAATTGTTAAGATGGTACCCTTAGCAATTGGTATGGCGGTGACTCGAGCCAAAATGTGTCTTAAGTACCTATCCGTCAATTGACATTTGATACGAGTCTAACGACTCCTTCCAAATTTCTTTCAGAAATGGACCGTGGTGGCAGGATTACTAGGAGAAACCCGACGGGTCGTGTACCAGTGGAGACTGGACAGGGCAGTCGAAGGACCTCTAGGGCATCTAGAGGAGCTGGCCGTGGAGGCCAATCACAGACCGTGAGTGACGGTCATGTCGACACGGAAAGTGAAACCTACTGGTCCTATGAGGACTCGACCTATCGACCGGAAACTGAACCGGTTGAGACCCCTTATGAAGGGGATGATGATGATGTAAGTGATGAGGAGGAAAATGGCTCCTTAGCACGGATTGAAGCACTACTTCAACAGTACCACCGTGAGCGTGAGGAGAGGAGGGAACGCCGAAGGCGCCGGGCTGGGCAACCTTCGGGCGGGGCTTCAAGAGGGAGAAGCCATGGCGACTCTAGGGCCCACATTGAACCACATGGGGGTCGGGGTGATGGAGGTCCAATCATAAGGATCTCCAAATACATCAAAGAGGCACGAGACTTGGGGTGCAAACCGTTCGATGGGACGGGTGACATCTCCGTTTCGGCACAATGGATTAAGCGGCTGAATGAGGCAGCCCTGGACATGCAACTCACCCCCGAATATAAACTAAGGGTTGCGGTGAGATTGCTTGAAGGTATGGCATCCAAGTGGTGGGATGGGACCAAAGGCAAATATGGCGAGACCGTCACTTGGGAGAATTTCCGACAGGAATTCTTTGCCCAATATTACTCGGATTTTGAGGTGAACAAGAAAGTGAGGGAATACACCCTTCTAACCCAAGGGGGTAACATGACGGTGAGGGAACTTGAGTACAAGTTCAGGGATCTTGCCGATTACATACCTGAGTATGCTTGTGACGAGAACCGGATGGTGAACCACTTCTGGGATGCTCTAGACTTGGAGATACGTGACAGGGCAACACAATTGCCTAACATGACGTTTGCCCAAGTGGTTGACCAAGGGTTGAAAGGAGAGAAGCAATGGGAAGAAAGGAAGAAGAGAGACGCCGAGGAGGCGAAAAAGAGAAAGTGGGAGAGTCATGGCTCCCAAGGTTCCAACAAAAAGGGGAACCACGGAGGAGGATCTTTCCGGGCACCACCGCCACCATATAGGGGGAACCAAGGCCCGAGTGGGCAAGGCGCGAGGTCACAAACCTCAGTGGTAGCTCGTTGCAACAATTGCAAGAAGAACCACTCCGGTAAATGTCGCGACCCCCCCTAGATGTTTTCAATGCGGGGATGCCGGGCATTTGAAGGCACATTGCCCACAATTGAGTGGGGCAAGGACATCGGGGCCGAGTAGCGGTCCGACGGGTACACGGAATCAAACCGGAGCTTCTCAAGCGAGTCGGGGACATGGGGGAGCGAGTACGAGCAACGCGCCATCCGTGAATCAAGGAAGAACTCAAGCTAGAGTTTATGCGATGACGGAGGCGGATGCTCGAGCTAACCCGGACTCGGTTGCAGGTATTGCCTCTTGCACAATTGTATTTTGTCCATATTTAATCCATAAATTGATGACATAAGTCATAGGGATTGAGTGCGAGCCATTTCGGGGTCAAACGGCGAAATTCGGGCCAAAACTGACCAAAAACAGGGACGCACGATCGTGCGTCCAACCCCACGCACGATCGTGCGTAGGGGACAGTGGTTCCAGGTGAATTTCGCGCAGGACGCACGACCGTGCGTGCCGGTACGCACGCCGTGCGTGGACGCACGATCGTGCGTGGCCGGGTACGCACGATCGTGCGTAACCGGCAGTGGTCGGATTCGACGCTTCTTCACGCACGCACGACCGTGCGTGTCCCACGCACGACCGTGCGTGGACCCCAGCCGCCCGAAACCTAAGTTTTTCCTCTCGTTCTTCTACGATTGGACCCCCGTTTGATTCCGAACATCTATATGAACCTATTAACCTCCAAAAAGTGTCCTAAACCATTAAAAAAGGTGTCTTACATGGTTCATGAATGTAGGGACACTAAAGATTAACGGGAAGGATGCACGAATCCTTATCGATACCGGAGCGCAACGTTCATTCGTGAGTGAGGCGTTTGCCGAGAGCTTAGAGATGCAATCAATACCAATGACACAAACCTTAGTGGTATCAACCCCACTAGGGGAAGACGTTGAAAGAAACAATTACTATCCATCTTGTATGGTGGAAATCGGTGGCCAAATCTTGACGTGTGATTTCGTACCGCTGAGTATGATGGAGTTCGATGCAATCCTAGGGATGGATTGGCTAGAAAAGCATCATGCTAGGGTAGATTGCTACACAAAGGTGTTGGAACTCGAAGGCACGCATGGGGACACCCTACGCTTCGAGGGGGACCGCGGCAAATCAAATAGTTGTATCATATCCGCCGTGAGAGCGAGAAATATGATGAGGAAGGGATGCCACGCATATCTAGCATACGTGGTTGACAAAACCAAAGAGGGAACGAACATCGATGATGTGAGGGTGGTTTGTAAGTATCCGGATGTCTTCCCTAAAGACCTACCGGGGCTTCCACCTGACAGGGAGATGAATTTGTGATCGAGGTCGAGCCTGGTACCAAACCAATCTCCATACCGCCATACCGGATGGCACCCGCTGAACTTAACGAGTTAAAAACCCAATTGCAAGAGCTTTTGGATAACGGTTTCATTAGACCAAGCCACTCCCCGTGGGGAGCACCGGTTCTTTTTGTGAAAAAGAAAGATGGGACACTTCGAATGTGCATTGACTATCGTCAACTGAACAAGGTCACAATCAAGAATAGGTATCCGTTGCCTAGGATTGATGACTTGTTTGATCAACTACGAGGAGCAACCGTGTTTTCGAAGATTGACTTAAGGTCGGGGTACCATCAATTGAAGATTAAGGAAGATGACATACCAAAGAGTGCTTTCCGCACAAGGTATGGGCATTTTGAGTTCCTTGTTATGTCGTTTGGGTTAACAAACGCCCCGGCGGCATTCATGGACTTGATGAACCGAGTATTTCATAAATACTTGGATCGATTCGTGATTGTGTTCATAGATGACATCTTGATTTACTCAAAGAGTGAAGAAGAGCATGAGGAGCACTTGATACTTGTTCTTGAAACACTACGGGAGAAGCAACTCTATGCCAAATTTTCTAAATGTGGATTTTGGCTAAAGGAGATTGGCTTCCTCGGGCACGTGGTTTCGGGATCGGGGATTGCTGTTGATAACAAGAAGATAGAAGCCATCACTGAATGGGAGAGGCCAAAGAACGTCAAGGAAATTCGTAGTTTCCTTGGATTGGCAGGCTACTATAGAAAGTTCGTGGAAAAGTTCTCTGTTTTGGCATCGCCATTGACGAAGCTCACTCGTAAAGGAGCTAAGTTTGTATGGGATGACAAATGTGAGAAAGGGTTCATGGAACTAAAGAAGAGATTGACTGAGGCACCGGTACTTGCATTACCCAAACAAGGTGTGGGGTACGATGTCTATAGCGATGCGAGCATTCAAGGGCTCGGATGTGTACTGATGCAGAATGGGAGGGTAATCGCCTATGCTTCACGACAATTGAAGAAGCATGAGGTGAATTATCCTACTCATGATTTGGAGCTCGGGGCAGTGGTATTTGCACTGAAGATATGGAGACATTATCTCTACGGGGAGACATGTCACATATACACTGATCACAAGAGCTTGAAGTACGTGTTTACTCAGAAAGAGCTAAACATGAGACAGAGACGGTGGATGGAGCTGATAAAAGACTACCATCTGGTGATAGAGTATCACCCAGGCAAGGCAAACGTGGTGGCAGATGCTTTGAGCCGGAAGAGCTCGTCTGGGGCATTGATAACTAATTTGAGGGCATTAAGAGCCCAACTGGAGGTAACCAGCGATGGTGCCTTATTGGCACGATTTGAGGTGAGACCCACTTTACTTGATGAGATCAAGAAGGGTCAGGAAGCCGACGAAGAACTTATGAAGGTCCGGGAACGCATGCAAGCGGGGCCGGTGGAGGATTTCAGGGAAAGAGATGATGGTCTCTTGTTATTTCGTGACCGAGTGTGTGTACCGTCAGATGATGAGCTCCGAAAGTCCATCTTAGAGGAGGCTCATTCATCGGCTTATGCCATGCACCCGGGGGGCACGAAAATGTACCGTGATTTGAAGGAAAGTTACTGGTGGTCTGGAATGAAGAGGGAAATAGCCGAGTACATCAGTCGGTGCCTTACTTGTCAACAAGTTAAGGCAGAACATCAGCACCCAGCAGGCTTATTGCAACCACTCTCCATCCCTGAATGGAAGTGGGAGCACGTGACTATGGATTTCGTGGTAGGCTTACCACGGACTATCAGGAACTATGACGCGGTTTGGGTCGTTGTGGATAGGCTCACAAAGAGTGCACACTTCTTGCCTATCAACACTACCTACCCACTTGAGAGGTTAGCCAAATTGTATACGGATGAGATCGTGAGGCTGCATGGGGTCCCGGTGACCATTGTATCTGATAGAGACCCACGATTCACATCACGTTTTTGGCCGAAATTCCAGGAGTCTATGGGAACGAAGTTGAAGTTCAGCACTGCTTTCCATCCACCGACGGATGGGCAGTCTGAAAGGGTTATTCAGATCCTAGAAGACATGCTGAGGGCTTGTGCATTGGAGTTCCAGGGAAGTTGGGACAACCACTTAGCACTTGTGGAGTTTGCCTATAACAACAGTTATCAGGCAAGCATCGGCATGCCTCCATACGAGGCATTGTATGGGAGGAGGTGCCGTACACCGTTATGCTGGGACGAGGTTGGCATGGCCAAACTCGAGGGTACTGAGTTGGTTGAGGTCACCAAATCAAAGGTGAAGTTGATTCGAGAGAGACTCAAGGCGGCTCAGGATAGACAAAAGAGTTATGCAGATAAGCGTCGAAGAACCTTAGAGTTTAAGGTTGATGACGAGGTATTCTTGAAAGTTTCTCCTTGGAAAGGGATCATTCGGTTCCAAACCCGAGGAAAACTTAACCCACGATATATAGGTCCATTCAGAATTATAGAGAGGATTGGGGCCGTTGCATATCGTCTACAGTTGACTCCTGAGTTAGAGAAGATACATAATGTGTTTCATGTATCCATGCTTAAGAAGTATGTGCATGATCCCTCTCACGTACTAGAGAAGCCACCTGTAGAGGTACGTGAGGATTTGAACTACGCTGTTCAACCTATCAAGGTCACCGATAGAAAGGTGAAGAAGCTGAGGAGCAAAGAAGTCCCAATGGTTAAAGTCCTGTGGAAGAGCGATCGGGTCGAGGAAGAGACATGGGAAACGGAGGCTTTGATGAGGAAGCAGTATGCTTTCCTATTCGAGTAGAGCTGTGAATTTCGGGGACGAAATTCCTGTTAAGGGGGGGTGAACTTGTGACACCGCACCCGAACGTCCTTGAAAATTCGATTTAAAAATTCAAAAGTGATGTATTGAATTTCCAATTTCAAAACAATGGGAGAAACGATTAATATTTTACGAAGTACATGATTGAATATTGTATTGTTCAAACCCGCATTCT